AACGCTTGCGTGTAGGTACCGGGAATGGTATAGGGAACGCAAAAACTATTAAGTACGTCGCTAGGCGTGCTTCGCCGAAATAAATATGTAACGCAAATTTATGTTTGATGAATGGTGCGCGATGCGCGTATATTACAAAGACGTTCGGAGAACGGAAGAAATTGTTAATTACAGTATGTATGAATGTGAACGGTCGATCACGTGCTTTCGCGATGCGATTTGCGAACAGAGAGGTTGCTTGGCTAACGACAAAAAGATGGCTTCGGTTAGAGTATTCACGGACGTGCGTGTCGGTTCGCGGTTACTAGGAGAGAGAGCGAGCCGGGACGCCGCAACGACGCGGAGGCCGCCGCTCGGCGCGAGAGCAATGTGACCAACCGTTCATAACAATAAAAGAAATACAATGCTACCGACTACGGAGGGAGGTCATGTGAAAATAAAATAATAATAATAATAAATAATAAAAAATAATAAAATAACGCACGCAAAATAATTAAATAAAAATTCTATTTTATTATTTACTACGGCTAATGACAATGTATCGGTTCAGACGTAATATTAAGACTAAAAACGACTGCCTGGCCTCCCGTATAGTGTGTTGGACGACGACGCTCCGTGTCACAATCAAAATCCTGTGTCAGCGGATTCCACGGTCTCGCCGTCGTATAACACACTATTCTTGATGGTCTCAAGAAATATCATGTAAAATAATATTATATTATAATATGATTCAGGGGTTCATAACAGGTGCAAGGACCCAAGTGACATAAATATGGAAAGATATAAAAATACTAAAAAAGAAACCAATAAAGTACTAAGATGTGAAAAAAGATTAGCAGAAAAAAGAAAGATTGAGGAAATTGAAGAAAATAAAAATAACTCCAGAAGATTCTTTAGCAAAACTGCCAACATTAAACAGGAATATAAACCGCAGAATAGGATCCTAAGGAATGAACTTGGTGAGTTAGTAACAAAAGAAGAATCTGTAGTAGAAGAATTTAAAAAACATTTCGAAAGATTACTAAATAAAACACCACCAATATCAACACATGAAGATATACCTATGCAATATAGTACAGCGAAACCATATATTAAGACTCCAACAAAACAGGAAATCTATAACATCATAAAAAAACTTAAAAACAACAAATCACCTGGAGAAAACAACGTAGTTGTGGAATTATTAAAAAATGGAGGAAATGCGATTAAAGATGAAATTTGGAAAATGATTAAGGAAATTTGGGAAACCGAAGTAATGCCAGGAGAGTGGAACACGGCAATACTATGCCCAATATTTAAAAAAGGAGACACTTAAGAAGTTTAAACCTAAAAAATTACAGATTAATCTCATTATTGGATACTTGTTACAAGATATTATCAACGCTCATTTTGGAAAGAATAACGCTATATGCAGAGGGTATCATCGGAAGATACCAGTGTGGCTTTATAAAGGGGAAATCCACTATTGACCACATTTTTAAATGTGAGAAATACTACGAATTTGACATGGATTTATATATGATATTTGTTGACTACAAACAAGCTTATGATAGTGTGAACAGACAGGAATTATGGAAAGCAATGTCACATTTTGGAATTCCGAAAAAATATGTAAATTTAGTAAAGATGTGTAATGACAAGACTGTACTGAAAGTACGTTTTCTTCAGACACTATCACCAGCCTTTGAGGTGAATTCTGGATTACGACAGGGAGATGCCCTATCCCCAACATTGTTCAATCTGGGACTAGAAAAAGTTATTAGAGAAGCTTATGAAGACAGAAGAATGGAAGTTATTGGTGAAGAAACTATCTTAGCATATGCTGATGATATAGTTCTTTTAGGGAATACGCGAGAAGAAATTTCCCACTCACTCTCTAAACTAATAGAAGACAGCAAAAACATGGGTTTATGTATCAACGAAGAAAAAACTAAACTTATGATACTATCAAGAAGAAACGTAGATCAATCAAACCTGAAAGTGGGAAGTATGAATTTCGAAAAGGTGGATAATTTCAAATACTTGGGTGTTAATATAAACAACAGCAACAACATACATAAGGAGATAAAAGAAAGAATATCAAATGGAAATAGGTGTTACTTCAGAATAAACAAACTATTGAGATCAAAACTGCTATCAAGAAAGTCTAAAACCACTTTATACACAAGCTACCTTAGACCAGTAGTAACCTATGGGTGTGAGACCTGGTCCACAAAAAAAGATAATAATAAAAAACTTGCTATATGGGAAAGAAAAATACTAAGAAATATATATGGACCAGTGTACAACGACAACCTAGGAATATATGAAAAAAGACACAATGAAGATCTGTATAACCTGTATGAAAAACCAAATATACTCACATATATAAGATGTAAACGCTTAGAGTGGTTAGGACATGTATGGAGAGCGGATGGAGATTTATTAAAAAATGTTCTGATACGAAAAAAAAATAAAAAACGTCCACTTGGAAGACCAAGAACAAGATGGAAAGACACAGCAGAAAAGGATATGAGACTAATAGATGAGGATGCAACGTTGGACTGGACTTTGAACAGAGAAAAATGGAGAGGCTTACTAGTGGCAGCGCAGGTCCTCAATGGACCGTTAAGCTGTTGATGATGATGACCATCAACATTCATTTCTTGGCTTATTTCTTCCCATGACTAGTCTTGCACAATTCTATTGCTATGGTCCTTGTCTCCAAAATCATAAATGGATAGCCTTTTTTCCACTAAACTTACAAGTATTTTCCCATCACTAGCCATTATGTGGTAAGTATACAAAAAATATTATTAAAAATATATACGAAATACAAAATTCACACGAATAATTATTTATTGTCTAGTTGTGACTAACAAAAAATGAGGACACTCAGACAGTATCAGTCATGACTAATTGAGTTTTAAAGCAAAAACGTTTTGTTTTGACTATGTCTAATCAGTGTGCGTATGCAATGTAATTTCCTATGTTCTATTTTTAACAAAACTGTGTTAGGCTCAAACGCAGTTTTGCTCTTTTGGTGAGCGATCGGCCTTATTGTGCACTTATGATGCCATAACTCCGGAACCACTTATCGCACAGCATACAAACTTTGATAGTTGCCGATTCTCAGACCTACTGAATTAGCGTATAAAATTTCATAAAAATCGGTCAAACCGTTTCGGAAGAGTATGGTAACTAACATTGTGACACGAAAATTGTGTATATAAGATAGAAAATATTAATATACGTAATCGCAAAAAAGGGTTATGTTGCTGTGAATTGAGGACAAAAATCCCCAATAGCATTATAAAGGGGATTGACTAAATATAAATAATTTGAATGGCACCTCATCAACCAAAAACGACTAAAACCAGTGAGGTATGGAATAATTTCACCAAAATAGAACATGAGAAGGCACCTTAACTAACTTGCGTTAATTTGGCCCAACAACTTGGTCCAATTTTCTCCAAATCCCAGCCATCATTATTAAAATAATTTGAAAACGCAGGAAGCTACAACTAAGCTTTTCTAGTTCTACTTTCATTAATAGTTAATTAGTATATCTACCTATGATTTCAGATTTGTATTTTATTTTGTAACTTCAAAATATTTAAATTATCATTATTGCAATGACTCGCGTGTAAGAATGCACCATAAATAAATCACTTGCTCAACTTCTTTTTTTTCCAAACCATCTCAAACATTACGCATTTGTTAGGACTAACGAATGCGTAATTTTTAAACTAATTCTTTCATTCATGATCTGACACCCTTGTAAAATAGTTCAAATGGATGTCAAAGGTGTCCCAATATTTTTATATTTTCTAGAAATTTCTGTAAGTAGAAGAAACCACTCAGTTAATTTAAACATAGTGGTCGGTATAGATACTTCTATCTAGTTACTTATATTTATTCTAGTTTAATAACTTTACTATCTAAATAGGTTCTGCGACTTAGAGAGAATATTTGAATTAAGTTGTTCTTATATAAGTAGTATCAGCAACCATGTAATGTCCATCATAGAAACAAACTATCAACATCTTTTACACAATTTGAATAATTTACCTTGGCTGAATGAAACAAAATTAAAATACTATGCAAAAGTAAGGATTACATTTATTTTTCATACAATATCTATTACAGTTTTATACCATAATGAGGATTAAAAGTATAAAGTGAGTAACAAAAATGTTGTACTACTTAATTATCATGATAGGCAATATCAAACAAAGGATCACCACTTCAAAACTGCTGGGCTTTTATAGATGAGACTGCCAGACCTATATGTTGGCCAACAGTGAATCAACAGAACTATTTTTCTGGACATAAACATTACCATTGCTTAAAGTACCAAAGTGTATTGACTCTAGATGGCATTATAGTTAATCTTCAAGGACCATATCCAGGAAGAAGGCATGATGCAGGTATAAGCATTAAATATATACATATGTATAAAATATTAACAAGTAAAACTAATTTTGTTAAAGATAATTATTATTTTCCACTTAAGAGGTATGCTAAGAGATACAAACTTGTACACAGAACTCATGCAGATTGCCGTACATGGTAATACAAAATATGTAATTTATGGAGATCCAGCTTATCCCATGTCAGAGCTAATACTTAAACCATATTGTAGTAGAATATTAACTCCAGAAAAAGTTGAATTTAATTAAGCGATGTCCTCAGTACGCCAAGCTGCAGAATGGGGATTTGGCAGTTATAATAGAATTTGCTTTTTGGATTTCAGAAAAAACCAAAAACTGCTTCTACAACATGTAGGCCAAATGTATAAAGTTAGTGTAATTTTAACTAACTGCCATACATGCTTATACGGAAGTCAAACAGGAACTGATTTTGATGTAGTTCCATACCCACACTGGAACAGTACTTAAAGATTTAAGAAATGCAAAATGTTTTTATTGTTTATTATTTATTAACAAATATAAAATAAGAACTTTAT